CCAGACGGGAGGCCCTGGTGCTATGCGGCGACTGCACCGCTCCGCGGTTCCTGCCTGCTAACGACTGCATGGCCGTCACGCCGTGAACCCGTCACGTTGTGAGCCGTCTGGTTGGTGTTTCGCTCCAGGCTAGCAGCTGCGTTGCAGGCAGTAGGCACAGAACAGCACCGGTGGAGCTGGAGAGCGGTAACAGAGGGCTCCCCTCGACGGAGTGCGCTTCCCACGGCCTGGCGGTGCCCCTGGCTCCTTTGCAGTTGTTTCTGCAGGAGAAGGGGAGATGATAAACTGAGACATAAGGTTGAGAATAGAGTGGTGGAACCGTTTCTTTAACTCACAAAAGCGTTCATGTCAGATGTCCTCAGAAAGCTAAGTTTCTTATGTAAGTAAGTAATAAGTATAAGTAATACTTACTTACTCATTTAGCATTCTGTGAATTTTGCAGGTCTGCACTGACAGGTGAGTTTAGAGATGTCCTGCTGTACACTTGTGTAACAGTGTAGACAAAAGCAAAAGACGGTTGGACTCATTTAGAATAAAAGAAGTCCTGGCACATGAGCTCAAAGCAGAGCGAGTTCAGTTCAGAGATACCTGCATATTTGTATCTTGCAGCATGCTTGTATGTGAAGTTTTCTTGGCAGAAAGACCTTGCAAGCTAGGGTGGTCTCAACAGTGTTTTCAGTTTGGATAGTCAGAATTGAAATCTTTGTTACCCTTGATGGCTAGCCAGCTTTTCTCTTTTCAGTGAGTTTTTGCTTAGAACAGAGTTCTGGTTTCCATGAACTTCCAAACTCATGACGATTTTGCCATGGTTGTGCTGTAGAGCCAAGTTTCAACTCCTTATTTGTTCCTCTGTTTTTTGAAGAGGACAAAGTTCGGCTCCAGAAACTCTCAAAATCATTCTCAGGTGACTGTTGCTGGAAAGTAATTTCTTTTGTAGATCCCCAGCCAGGTGTGCTAAAGGTTCCCGAGGCACGGGGTCCTCTCTGCTGTACGCAGTGCGAAGAGGCCAGGTGGGATCGCGCTGCTGGCTTAGTCGCAGTGACTAAATTGGAAAATACCCCCACGTGGATGTTCTGTACCAGTGTAGAAAGTTTCAGCTGCAGTAGCAGTACAACTGGGCTGTGGTTTAAGATTATTTGTGCAGGTTTCTGTATGCACATGTAGTTTTCTGGTTTTGTATGCCTCCCTTGTGCCTGACACTTGTAAGGCTGCACGGTGAGTTAAACCAGGGATCTTCCCTCTCCAAAATAAAAACCCAGTAAAAAGGCTCTCGTGTCAAAGGGATGCATCCATGGACCTGGTGTTTTGTGTTGGCTGCAGTGCTTGGCCCAGTGGACTACAAGTGGTGTTGGGCATAGGTTAGGACCATGGCACTGAACCTCAGTTGCATTAATACCAAATGAAACAGCCCAAACCGTGCGTGATTCTCTGCTGGTTAGGCTCAGCTTAGAGCAGTCACTGACCTGCTCTAACCCATGCTGGCCAGACCCATCCTGTGCAGGGGAGATTTCTGGTCTCTCTGTAGGCTCTATCAAGGGAACCAACCATGGTCAGCAGTGCTGCGTCCCTGTTCCTTTCCCCTTCTGTAAGCTTCTGGCTCCTCAAAGCACTGTTCTGGGGACATAGTGGGGATCTTGCTGCTGGGCTCTGTGTGTGCTGCCAGTTAGGTCTGGCCTGCCTGTGGGGAACTGCTCCTCAAGGGCTCACTTTGCACACCGAGGGTCACAGGAGCGCTTTGCCCTCTTGCCGTAACACTGCTGTACTTGTCAGAGTTGTTGCAGTGTTGGGAGAACTTCTGAGCTTTCCTGGAGATCGGCTTCACTAATTTAGCAGGCCAGACTTCACTGTTACTGTTCTGTCATTGTACTTAGTCAGACCTTTTCAACATACATGAACCCAGTAAATATCGATACCCCAGGAGAGCCTGGTGCAAAATATCGATACCCTAGGGGAGCCTGGTGCAGAGCCAGACAGCCTGCTCAAGCTGTGGACAGTTGTTTTCTGTGCCTGTCGGGACCCCTGTGAACTCTCTGCAGACGTCTCTGGTGTCATTCAGAAATAATGTGTATTCTGGACAAGGTATTTGATTTTTTTTCTCTGAGAAAAGCTATAAATGGATGCACAGAGGTCTTCATGTGGAGAAGAAAAGGTGCTTTTTTTGGAGGAGGTAACATCCTTGAAATTGTAGTTCCTGGAAGTTGTTCTGGTTTTGGCAAGTGAATTAGGTGGTACAAGATACTAAATCTTGCTGCAGACTTTTCTGTGTCCTCAGAGTAGTAATGGTAGCGTGGTTTAATGTCTGTTGTGAAATTAATCTCAAAAAACATGGATAACAATTAGCCATGTTCCCAGCCTCAGTCTCTGTTAATGCCCAATTTAGACTGGTGCCAGTGCCTTGCTGTTGCTGGCTTTGACCATCACTTCCATAACAACACTACTGCATTTAGAAAACAATACCTTTTGTCACAGAACTCTTTTTCTTTGTAGCTAATAGCATGTGATGTCTAATAGCAATCCCCTGACTTCTTGCTATTTTAAAAAGTAAAACTTGTAAATCTAAACTTTATAATATAAGCTCTTAATGAAAAAATGACTCGGTTTCAGAAAGGCTAGATATTTTAAATAAACCTTTGAATCAGTCTTATTTCTGCCTTTAGCATTTGCTGCCTTCATGCTATTCTGATGTAGAAAAATGCAGGCAGTCAGCAAGAGCTGCTTGAATAGTCGGATTATTGGGGAAGGATGCTATCCTTTAGAGTTTGGTTTAAAAATTCTGCTCCTGAATACGCAGTCTGAATGTCATCTTTATGCGGCTTTTGGGTGGGTGCCAAACTAAATAGCCGTCGAAGTCAGTGTTTCGGAAGGAGATGAGGAAACGGTACATCTTTATCCTGAAGAAGTCGGTGGTTGCGCTTCAGGACTGGCTGCCTGTTACAAAGTGGTGGTGTAGCTGGGGTAACATCTGTAAAGATCTTAGGGGAATATTGTCGTAGTTTATAAGGGAGGGAGATTGGAGGGGGTTGTTACTGTATGTTGTCCTTTTTAATGAGGGTTAATGCAATGACAGTGTAAAAGGTGGCTCGCAGCTGGTTGGCTCACGTGTGAGCAGGCTGCCAGCACTTGACGCAGACTGCACTTCCTTTCTCAGTACAGCCTCTGTCAGACCCTTGCGTTTTACACAGCTCTTCAGCTGATTGTCTGACACCCCGAAAGCAAACTACAGTGTCAACCCCCCGAAAAGCATTGCCAGCGAATGGACAGAGGGAGACCACAGTATGGGGACAGTCATATGGGAAATCTGCAGTAGAATTCCAGAGTAGATGCCTTTCCACTTACTCTTGGGTGCTGTTGTCTTTTTTTTTTTTCTCCTTCCTGCAACATTAAGCAAATATCCTCACATGAACAAAGCAGCAGGTTTCATGCCAGAGCTTGATTCTTCTTTTTTCCCCGGACAGGAATCACTGAGTTCATGCGCTGCACTGCAATGGTGGGACAAATCACCCTCAAGTAACTTCTAAAAAAACCACTGATGTAAATACACTTAACTGTGTGATTTAAATAACTCCATCATTGGATTTATGAAGTACATAGCTGTTACAAAACAACCACCTTCCATGTTAAAAAAAAAAAAAAAAAAGAATTAAAAGATCATGTGATCTGTTCAGTGAATGCACCAGCTGTGCATTAATTATGCCAACAGCCAGGCAGGAGAAGAGTCAAGGTCTCTCGAAAAGGAGTTAGAGAAGTTAACTTCTGCAGAACAAAACAACATGCTATTTTCGTCTACTTTTTTTTTATATTAGGTGCTTGAGAATAGGCATGTGCAAGAAGGCAATAAAAAAATATAAACATGGCTGCAGATTCTGTGCAGTGTAAACAGAAAGCCAAGCTGAGTAATGGTGAAGCTGTGTTTCTGTGAGGATAGGGAATGGAGGTTAGCTGGATGGACACAGATTTATTTCATTTACCAAATATAAATGTTTCTGCTTTGCTCTACTCTCCTGCAGGTCAGTGCTGACTGTTGCTTGTGAACAGACTGAAGTACTGCTTTTTGACCCAATATCTTCAAAGCACATCAAAACTCTCTCTGAAGCTCATGAAGACTGTGTAAATAATATCAGGTAGGTCAGAATGAATAAAAGACCTCATATTTTGTCTTACCATAGGTGCTTTTCTTATGACAACATGATAAGCTTGTGTTACTCCCCAAGCTTTCTTGGGGAGAGTGAGTGTTGTGAAGCCGTTAGGCTGCAGTTTGCTTTGTGCCATTTTCCTTCTCCTCGGTATTGGAGGTGGGGAAAGGCTGGAAAGGGGAATAGGAGGAATCTGAAAGTGGTGGTGGTATATAATGCTGGCAGGTGGTTTTGTTGATGGAGGAGCTGCAGTTTATGGTAGGGGAAGAGTGTTAAGGTATTATCACCTGTATTCCCTGGCCTTTGGTATGCCCTGAATGAACGTGGTAAATCAGAGCGAAAGTAGTGTGTGATTTATGTTTGAAGTACAAGTCTGAGACCATAGCAAAATCAGATATTTATATGAATATGGCTGGTATTTTGAATCGTAAGAGTAATTGCCATTGTTGCATAGAAATTTCCAACCAAAGATTGGCTGCTTTAAATACAGGTATGATATAGAAGAGCTGCGAAAGTGAAATGGCTTCCGCAATTCAACTTAAACTCAGTCTTTATGGTTTAAATCCTTTGCTTGTTTTCTCAGGATGAAGTGGGAAACAGCAAGCGCAGGAACCTAAATCATCAGTATTTTTGTCATGTAATTTTTGCCATGTTTTTCCTATTAAATTCTATTATTTTTAGCGGTTCTGGGTCTGAGTTCACTTTCACATGTGAACTTAAGATGCTTTTTAACTTTGTGGACAATATTGCAGCCTTTTTTCACTCAGATTCTCAAAGAAAAAAAAAACAACCCAAAACCCAAACAAAAAAACCCCAAGAAAACTGTAGAAGCAATCTGAGCATTTCCCCTCAAAAGAGCTGAAGAAAATGTGGGATGCCAATGTCTTTACATGTTCTTCAGATAAACTGATGTTTTTCACAAGCTGCCTGTCCTTTTTAGAAGAGACTGAAGTTTTACATCAGTTGGATGTCTTTCAGAAAAGCTAAAGTAAAAGCTGGGGCTAGCTGACACAAATAGAAGATGTTGAGAACATGGTTTTCTGTAAGGAAATAGAGCTTTTCACTTATCTTGCATGCCAGTGGTTGTCCTTGAAATGTGCTTATTTTTAGATAAAGCTAGGTGAGAAATAAAGCCATGTTATCAACATATTGGAAGGCAAAGGCAAACCACATTTATTTTTATTTTTATCCATCCCTAATTCAGTATCTGATCCTTACGTTCAAGCTGCTCTTGCTAGGGTTGAAGGGAGTTAGTCTGGATCTTGTTTTACAAAGAGCGTCTTGTTGCAGGCTCCTTGACCTGTTGGCTGTCTCTGTTACGGTCAGCTGTGCTGGTCTTGGAAATTTATCTCATTCCTTGGTTGAGAACAGCATTGAAACTTCCTGCCACTCTCTTCTCTTATTCAAAGGATCTCCGTTCTTTCCACTTTGGCTGTCTGTGAGGCTGTAAGTCTGTTCTTGGTCCTTAAATGTCTTTTCTCTGTGTAGTTTGATTTACATAAAAATACCAGTACTACCTCCAAGCAGATAACTCTGAGATCTACTCTTAATCGCCAGACTGAGGTCGTTCCTAGCAACATGTAATAAACTTTCTGCTTTCCTTTGAAATGCTTCTTAAAGCTTTATTTTGTCTTTGTAGGATAGTGGCATCTTTTTCAGTGTTCTCTTGCATGTCCCCATTTGTTTGTTGTTATAAACTTAGTTGCAAGGAATTTAACTATATTCTGTAATACATGGTTAGTACAGCATTACCTGACGTATTATTTCTGCTTAATGAGCAGGACTCCAGGCACTGTACTACTACAGAAATTCCTTGTAATAAGCACCTAAAATAAATACTATTACTGCTGTGCCCTATAGCAGGTGCCTCAGAGGTATGTATGAACAGGGAAGCATGTAGTGGTCCTCTTCCAGTAGTCTCCCAGTTGCTGGGGATTTCTGTGTAATCATCTGAAGCAGACATTTTTTTCCACCTGAATTTGGTCAGGTTTTGAGCTTACTTAAAACTCTCCCATGGCAGAGCTCCATAGCACAAATGTGTTTCGAGGACTATTTAATAACGTTTTTAAAACTTGCTAGCTTAGTTTGGGCCCTCTAGTTTTTTTGTTTTCTTAAGTAGGAAGACAAGGAACAACTAATCTTTATTTACTTTCTCCGTGTCAGTTTTATATGCTTGAGTCATGTGCACCTTCAATTAGCTGTTTTTCAAGTGAATCCTAGTCTGCTTGGTCATTCCCTATATGAATGCTGTTCAATACCATTTGTATCTCCCTGTCTATTTCTTCTGAAACCTGTTTGTGGTGGGTGAAGCAGGGTTGCCTATAGCATCCAAGATAAAGGCAAGTGATGGATTTATACAGGCAAGAAGTGTACTCTGTTTTACTTTCGCCCTGAAAATCTGAAATGTTGGATTATTCCCATTGTAGTCGGTTATTTTTCATTGGAGTTATTGCTGGTTTTACATGATGTAGCCTAGTTCTAAGTCTAGAAGATAAAATGCTGTTTCTAGGGGTAACTTACCACATACGTCTGTGTAGATCGTTCTTGCCTTAGTATTCATGTGCAGCTACTTCTGGTGTTTTTCAGATAGGTTTTATTTTCCCTTCTATGTCAGGTACGTTTTTTTTTTCCAAATGCCTTCGTCAAGCATGAATTCCAAACATAAAACAGTATGCTTTGCCCTTCTAAAAGTAAGGGCATGCATAAAATGCAGTGGGAGTGGAGTATGATAAAGTTTGGTCTGTGTAATGCAAGCTAAATAATTTTATTCAGTGATTTTCGCAGTGAACCAAATAACTTATCTAAGGATGCTTTCAAAGAAAGTCTTGTTTTCACTTCGTGCTTTTGAAAAGTCTTCCATTTGCTTCAGTAACCTCTAGACTCAATTTATTCAATTTATTGCCCAGCTATGCATTTTTAGTGCTGATTCCAGCCCTTCTATCCCCTTCTGATGGAGTGTTTTTATGTGAGATATTCTTTCCTTCTATAATCACTTGAAGGTGGTCAAGCTGCCTCATGCTACTTCAGACAAGAGTGATACATACATTGAATTTTGGCTGAAGACCAGAGATTATCATGATAAAGAATTACCACCTGGGCAGGCTAAGTACTGATCAGTGTAGTAATCCAACTAGTATGACCCATATTCTTTTCCACTTTCTCATCTTCTCCCAATATGATATTAGCAACAAGCCTGTCATCTGTTAAGAAAGCAGGCACTCAAGACCTGCTAAGTGCAGAAACATACACAGTGCGTATGGAGCACTATGCATGTGAGATAAATTCACTGCTGCATAAAAGTGTACTGTAAAACTGTAGATCTGTAAATATCTTGTGAAATACAGAGCAGTAGGCTTGCTTCTCTTGCGGTAGTTTGAGTCAAACAGAATTCCAGGTTATATTGTGATTCAAACTCAAACCACTCAAATCCTCAAATGCACATCTGTATTGAAGGAGTCTGTACATTTGGGTAGGCTGTGCAGCTACTTCCAAAGGTGATCTGAAATTCTCATCCTAAACAGTGCTCTGCACGTGCACTTTGATACGTGTGTCTGCTTTTGTGCATTTGAAAAGCCCAACTTCATGTGCCTGCTTCAAACACATTAATTGTACTGTGAGGAAAGGAAAGGCAAGAAACGTGGGAGCAAAAGGCCCTTGCTTTTTGATGGAGAATGTTGAAACTGTCCAGGTGGTACAAAACCTTCCTGGATGCAGGAGGTCTGCATGGCTCCTCCTGGCTCTGCAGCTGCAGCGAGCAGTGCTCCTGGGGCATCGTGGACCTGGACGGGCTCCAAAGCAAAAGATGGGCAAAGGTGGAATGAAATTAAGGTTCTAGGGAAATGTGCAAACAGCGGCAGTGTTCAGATTTAGATCTAGTACATGTTTCCAAGATAGCAATACCATGTGTAGTGTAAACCATGTGGTTAGTAAAGCAAGCCATACATTGGACAGTTAATCTGCTGGATTAAATCTCTCGGCAAAGCACCCTTGTATGTCCCATGTAAAACCACGGGGCCAGCTTTTCAGCATGCTCGATGCAGACGTGTGGTGTGCCTCAGACGTCCATGCAGAGCTGTGGCCATATCACAGAGTGGCAGAAGGTCTGGTTGGAAAGGGCCTCTGGAGATCCATCATCTGTAACAGCCTTCTGCTAAGAGCAGGGCATCAGTTTGCCTCACCAGCACCCCAATAAGCCTGGCGCTGAATGTTTCCAGCATGGGCAGTTCCATTGCTGTCTGTGCAGGGCTGGCTAGGCAGGGCGTTTCTCAAAGCGGTTCCCCGTTGATCGACTCCTATAGCAGGCTTTGCGATGAGTGCTGTATTCTGCCTGTGCCAATGAGGTCAAGATCTGATGAGAGCTTTTGGTTGGGACTCACTACATCAGATACCAAGCGACCATGTGTGGTACAGAGCAACATCAGGCCTTGCGGAGCAGGAGGCATTCGGGCGTTAGCTAAAGGAGGCTTGGACACCATGTGTTTTGGCTAAGCTAGCGGGATGTGCACCATACAGAGCAGCAAGGTTTAATAGCAATAGGGGGCTTCCAGTAGGAATAACAAAACGTGATCTTTATTTTTAAAACCGCCTTTGAGTGCAGGGAGCTTATGTCCATAGTGGGGAGGAAGGGAAGATTTACAGAACAGTAGGGGAAGAACGAGGGTGGATATGTCGGTGGAAATGAAGAGAGTAAAGAAGAGCATGGGTTAATTAATTACGAGCTGATAGGATCTTGTGTGGTCTGAAATGAAGGTAGAATTGCTGTGTCTTCTGGTGCTGCCTGTCCATAGTAGCGAAAGGATCTGGCAAAAAGATGAAGGCATCTAGGGAAGATGAAAGGCATAAATTACAAACAATCTAGACTAGCAGACCTCTGTTGCAGGGACTGCCAAACCAGTCAATGGGAATAGGTTGCCAGTGGTCTAAAAGCAGACCAGTGCTAGGACGTTTGTGTCTTATAAAGACTTGGTAAGTTTAAAGCTGAGTATTGTCCAGATGGGTAAGTAATTTGGTTACCACAGGGATTCTGTGTGAGCATTTGTTCTTCTGGTTATTTGGTGATTGTGTGATCTTTACGTGATTCATTTAAAAAAAAAAATACAAACCCAAAAAACCAACCAACCAAAAAACTAACCAAACAAACTTCTGCTATGCTTCTGCGGGTTTACTAGTTTGCTACTACAGATGTACTACTGGTTCATATTCCAACAGTACTGGTTTTTAATGGAACTGTTTTATTGGCAAGGATTCTGCTGTATGTTAATTTTTTTGTGTGGCCACTCTCCTGCTTAAGAATATATCAATTAGAAAAGGCACTGAGTAGCCACAGTATTTCTCTCCCATTTTCAGGTTTCTAGATAATCGACTGTTTGCGACTTGTTCTGATGACACTACAATAGCACTTTGGGATTTGAGAAAGCTGAACACAAAAGTGTGCACTTTACATGGTCACACCAGCTGGGTTAAGAACATCGAGTATGATACCAATACGAGATTACTAGTCACATCAGGGTTTGATGGAAATGTGATCATCTGGGATACAAACAGGTACGTGGCTGTGTTCGAGCTGTTACATTTGTAGAACACACAAGGATAGGGTTCTTCTGTACAAGATGGAAAACCTGCTTCCTTGAATGGTGCTATAATGGATTCTTAAATACTGTGATTAGTTTATAGCCCTTATCAAAAACTTGCATCACCTTTACATGGTAATAGTCCAGTAGCTAAAAGCTGTATAAACCGAGAGGTTTTCTTGCTGACATGCCAAAATGTAGTTCTTCCTTTTTGAAAAAGTTCTGTCTTCATACACATTTCACAGTATGAAAATGTGACTTCTGCCATTTCATTAAGATCTGATTTAAGTAGGATGAGGACAGTACTCAAAAAAGGTTTTCAGATGAACAAGGATCTTGGACTGTTCTGGACATTATTAGGGACTTGAGTTGAAGCTAATCTCAGCCATTTCTTGTGTTTTTTTTGCTGTCCAGGTGCACAGAAGATGGATGTCCCCACAAGAAGTTTTTTCACACCCGTTTTCTTATGCGAATGAGGCTGACGCCGGACTGTTCCAAAATGTTGATCTCAACCTCCTCTGGATATCTTCTGATTTTGCATGACCTTGACCTAAACAAATCTTTAGAGGTTGGCAGCTACCCAATTTTAAGAGCTAGGAGGACTACATCAAGTTCAGGTGAATGCTTGTGGAAAAGTCTGTGGCAGCTTCTGTGTTAGAGGTGTTTTATGGGATACTCTTAGCTAGCCAAAGAAGGCAGAGGTGGAGTCAGAAAGATTCTGCCGAGGAACTCTTCGGCATGGTAGCTGCTCTGTTGTTGAGGGGTCACATGCATTTGTTCTGTTGAGTGGTATGTTCTGACTCAGGAGAAGTGTCTAAGGTGATTTTTGGTATCAAGACTTCAGCACTACAGGATATAGCGCCTGTGGAATTTTGTCACCTCGAGCTGGCAGTCCCTAGCTTTATTTATCTACTGTCCTTGGTGCTGTAGTAAAAGAAACTTAACCCATGTTCAGTGGGCTGACTCTGTGTGAGTTCCAGAAACTACTAGTGATTGTTGTGTAGGGTGTGGTTGCTCTCGACAGCAGACCTGGAAGAATTGTGTGCTCTGAAATTTCACTGCTTGCTTCCTCCTGCGTTGTTGCAGTAAGACAGCAAAATACTGACAGAAACTCTGCCATGTGGGGTGTCAGGATATAAAGGGAGTGGCCTGGGGAGAAATTCATATGCCAGCTTTTAGTAGTGACAGTGCATAAGAAGGAAGGAAGGAATGCAGCTCGCTTCTTATTCCCAATAGAGTTTGTTGCGCTGGAAGTTTATTTGTATGAGGCACAAACAGAATGGTACTTTTACACTATAAACTGAACTGTGAAAAGTGTTTTCTTAAAAAGATGCCTTACTCTTACCCTTTACTTAACATTTCTTAGGAGGGTTAAGTGAGGGACATGCATAGTAAGTGGGCTGTGCTTAGCTTATTATGTTCACATGGCTGGTGCTATTTGCAGACATAACATCATCAGGTTCATCTGGTCCTCGAACTATTGGTTCACCATGTCACCAGAATGATTCAGGTCCACTGTCTGAGAAACACATGTCACGGTCCTCCCAGCGAGAAGGTAGGAAAAGATTTTAAAAAAATAAAAAATAAAAAATCATGAACTTTGACTCATTGTATCCAGAAGAGGCCAGAGTATAATAGTGGAAAAACTGTGTTTTTGTCTCTGTGACTTTTAAAAGAATAATGTTGCTGTGACTTCTATTAAACCAATAAAATACCATTGCACACAGAAATCAGTTTTTTTCCAAGAAATCTGATAACAGCAACAAGATCTTTATTTTATATTAGTACATTATTGTTGTTATGTAGAGGTGCTCCCTTTTCCTTGTGTTTTTTCCTCAAACAAAGTTTGTATGAATGACCTTTAGGGGGGAAAAAAGAATAAAAAAAAAACAGAGCAGAATGTAGCTATGTTTTGCTTTTTGTTTTCCTTAATTATGGGAATACGTATCTGTAGTTTCTCCATGAGGAGTCAATGGCATAGAAAAAGAATATGCAAACAGGTTCTTAAATGTGGACAGAGTGTTTTGTGAAGTTCTGATTACAAACCAAGTCCTACCTAACTATGAAAACTGATGATCCTGTGATTAGCAGGCTTCTTCTGAATCTAGGATACGCTTTCAGAGAGTCAGCATGAACTTGGCAAACTGGTAGATACTTTGGGAATCACATGCAATTTAAAATAAGTATAATGTTAAGTTTTAACTACTCATGGTTGTGAGATCCTCAAACATACTTGAAAGGAGGAGGCTCATCTGGATGCCAGGTCATGATTTACCTGTGAAAAGCTTTCTAGGGGTGAGGGGGAGAACAAAGGCAAGCTGCATATAGCTGAGCAGACTTTAGAAGGAATTTGGAAAGGACATCATACAAGTTGGAGAACCAGTAGTTCTTATAAAAAAAACAGTCTTTAGACTTTGTCTTCATGATAATGAAGAGTGTATGTGTGGTAAGTTGAGTCTGACTTAGTTCACAATATGAGGTGATTTAATGCAGGTCTTGGAAGGCAAATTTCAAAAAAGAAGCTATTTGAAATCAAGACTGAGCCCATTGGTATTAGCTTCAGTTGTTTGTATAACCTCTCTTTTGATTTATCCTTTCATAAAGGTGCGGACTTTTCTAGCAAGCGTCACGTGTTTGATCTAGTTTCAGCAGTAGACTGATGAAAGAGGTGAAGATCAATGTATAGGCTTCACTGAGACTTACAATTGACTTCCCCTTCTAGGTGGATCACCTAGAAATAGTTTGGAAGTCTTAACACCAGAGGTTCCTGGAGAAAGAGATCGAGGCAATTGCATTACATCACTACAGCTACATCCAAAAGGGTGGGCTACGCTTCTTCGGTGCTCAAGTAATACAGATGACCAGGAGGTAAAACAAATAAGTTTTTTTTAAAAATACGTTGAGTAAGATGTATCAATCATACAACTATATTGAAATTTCCTTTTTTTGGATAAATTTGCATTTGAATAAATTAGTTATTTCTGCTTACAAATGCATTAATTTTATACCAAGAGTATTAAATTTTTTTTTTAATGATCTTATATGACTTTGTATCCCGCATTCAGTACTCCTATTGCCCAGCTCTTTCACAGAATACGTTTTATAGTTCACAGCTCTGTTAAAAGCTTTCAAACAGTAGTTGTGCCACCAAATACATGACTTAAAAATATGTACCTGCCAAAATATAGGAGGCATGAACTTGGAAAAGACAGAGGATTAGAGAGTTTGTACTGGTGAACATGGTTTAAGTTGAGCAGAGAAGCTCCTCTGAATTCTTCAAGTGCCTTTGGAATGTTTTCTACCTCCACTGGTACTCCAAGGATGAAGTGCTCTTGCTGTGCTGATGAACGATTTCCAGAGGCTGTTTCTACACTGCTGTGAAAAAAACTCATGACATATTTCTGCATCTACTTAAAACTGACACACCATAGGTCTGAATATGATGAACTCCACTGTTTTTTATGTAATGTCAAAGTGCCTTGGTGTCAACTCTCATCCTAAAACTCTGCAACTTAAATATAAAGGCGGAATTGATCATCTTCCTGGCAGAATCCATTTCAAGCCTTTACCTGAAGTGCTAAGTCATAAGACCAGCTACAGCTCAGCTGCAGCTTGCATATTTCACTCGCCTAAATACTGCTTTAAAGAAGTAATAGCAGACTTTAAGGCCAGTATTGGATTATGCTTCCCCAGATTCTGTTTGTGAAGTGTCACATAATAGCTGCTATATTGCACTGGGACCCTGTTTTAAGACAAACAAGCAGTCTGTAATGCACTCAGAAATAATGAAAAAACTTCTTCATGGACTGTATACGAAAAGGAAGAGCATGCCCGTTTTGTTTGGGAGCACCTGCTTTTGAAGAAGTAACTTCAGGTTAACTTGAGCTCTGTTCTAACTTAAAGCCCAGCCAGAGCCTCCAGAACACCTGGATTTCACCAGATGGTCGTCTTGCAAACACCTTTTTTTCCTGGGGTTATTTCATAATTATTGCTGTGACAGTTGTGCAGACCACTCTGTTTTCAAGACACAGAGGTTTTATATTTGTTTTCCAAAACCACAAAGAATTCTTGGAATACTTGACAATAATAAACGTTTAGTTAATTTGATAGCTGATGTAAATTGGGGTTGGTTTGGTTTGGGGTTTGTTTGGTATTTTTGGGGGGGTGGGTGTTTATTTTTTGGTGGGTTTTTTGTTGGTTTTTTTTTTTTTTTTTAAGAAAGCCACTCTTTATAATGGTAACTTCTTATAGATGTGCAGAGGACTGAATGGAAGCTTAGCAGATTTGTTATAAATTTTAATGCTGGTTCTGTAAACTTATAATCAAACCACTATACAACACAGAATTTTTTGAAAATGCAAATATTATATTGGGTTAGTTGATACTGACAATTGACCTAGTTATAATTTCCCATAGTCCTAGTGTCTGCCTTACTCTATTCTATTAATATTCATTACTACTGTTCCCTTTGTGTTTATTTCAGTAGAATACATGAAACAGAACTAAGAACACTTCTTTTGTCTTGTGGCTGAAATTGAATCTTTCAACATAATACAAACTTTGTCATAGAGCTGTTTTTGCATTTGATTTGAGATTAGATAATTAGATTACACATTAAAATCCCTGACTGTCTTACAAGTAACAAGCTGGCTATAGAGCTGTTCATAACATTCCTTCAAAACTCTATTTCCCTCTTGTTTCAAGATTTCTTTCCTTTTGAAGTTAAGGGCACAAAATGCCATTGGTCAATTGTAAATTACAGTAGGCTGAGTTCTACTTTATTGTAGATTTCATTTAAATGTTTACTACATTAGAGCAGATGCCTGGCCAAAGGATTAGGCTTTGCTCTTTCCAGATTTAAAAGCTAGATTTAAAAGATTGTATCTAGCATCCATTTAATTAAAAAAGCAGCTTTGATGCTAGACAGCTGTTTTGCTTAGACAGTTCAAAGCAGAGGAGATGCCAAGGAACCGGCCTATTTTCAGTGTTCCATAGTAGATGCTTATCGAAGAGTAGATAAGCAATAGCATTGGTCATTCCTGTGTTACTCAACATGCAGCAGGAGGCAATGAGTATTTGCAGTACTTTACTTTTCTTTCAATGTTCCTTTCTCTGCCTCTCCCTTTAGTGGACTTGTGTCTATGAATTCCAGGAAGGAGCCCCTGTGCGCCCCATCTCGCCTCGTTGTTCCCTGCGATTGACTCATTGCATTGAAGAAGCCAATGTGGGCCGGGGTTACATCAAAGAACTTTGTTTCAGTCCTGATGGCCGGATGATTTCATCCCCGCATGCCTTTGGGATCCGCTTGTTGGGGTTTGATGCACACTGCAGTGAACTTGTCGACTGTTTGCCCAAAGAAGCCAGTCCTCTGAAAGAAATCCGTTCCCTCTACTCTCACAATGACGTGGTACTGACAACCAAGTTTTCTCCAACACACTGTCAGATTGCCTCGGGGTGCCTTAGCGGACGTGTTTCTCTGTATCAGCCAAAGTTCTAGGCACATCTTGCATCAACAGGACCTTCAGATGTTTGTGGGTTTTACTTCAGTTTAGTTGAAGTGTGTTCTTTCTGAAATCTCTAAATCCGGATAAGATCATAGTTACTATGATCTCTGAACACAACAGTGGAACGAGTTTCCAGCCCAGCACTGTATGCATTCTCATACTGCATCCACTTCCATGCGCTGTGTTTTCAGCCTTCCAAGCAGACCTCTGCTCCTGCTGATCCTGTGCCATCGAGTCATTGTTCTGGTTTGTTTGTACCGTAATACTTGTTGATAATTTCCATCAATGCAACCTGAAGTGGGCTATTTGAAGCAAATGTAGAGGGGCAGGGGTAGCAGTTCAGCCAAAACTTGCCCAGGCTCCCCAGGTACGACACCTCCTTGTTCCAAAGCAGCTGGACTTTCTCACGTACGCTTCCTTGGCCTTTTCTGTTGCTGAAACTACTATACGGTGATTATTAGATAATGAGCTGCTTTTCTGTGTAACTAACATGATTAGTTACTGTCACAAAAAGAAAAGAAAATTTTGTTTTCATTTATATATTAACCTGGTTGCTTGTGATTGGCTAGAAAAATGAGTCAACTTTGTATGTTTTGCTACAGTTAAAACATTTGGTTTTCTATGATTGCATATATTGTGCTTATTGCCAGAAGGAAGAGGTTCTGGATGGAGATGTAGCTGCATTTTTTCCTCAGAGAATTTAGTAGCAAAAGACTGGGGTGGGGAAGCAGGAGTTGAATGGGTGAAGATCCTGTCCTGTAACTGCAGATGAACTGTTCGGATGTTTTGTACAACGGGGGTGCCCTTGGTCGGCCTCTCTTGGGCAACTTTGATTCCTCAGCCGCCAGGATTTCCATTGTAGGGAGCTTTCCATATCAGTAATGTAAATCTTCATCCCACATTTGAAACTTAACACTGCAGAATTTTCTGCTGATGTTAAGGCTATGTCCCACCTAACTCTTCTTCCACACCTCACCCGCACCATTGAGAGGAATTTGTCTAGGATGTGTCCGTAATATCACCAGATAAGCTCTTCTTCACACGTACTGTTAGTTTGGGAATGGATTAAAAGCATGCCTGACTACAGTAAGATCTATTTGGATTTAACTGGGCTTATCGTAAGATGTGAGAAACGTTAATGTTCACCATTAAATCATATATTAAGTATGAATGCCAAGTTTTAGCCCTCAAGTTAATATAGCTAACCTTGTAAATGCAGAGTTATTTGAGTCTCGTACATCCATATCAGTTTATAATATTCTCATCACTTACATGTTCCAAGATCTTTTTTTTAGTATTTCACTGAGGTTTTGCTGACCAATTTCAGGAAACATTACCTAAAAAGGACTGTCATATTTTGGTGTTCAGATTTACTATCTCTGCCTCAATAGACTCTATAAGTTGACTCTTATAAAGACTTTTGCAAAATATGTGTTTGGGGACAAAGACGACATCTATGAAGATGAAATAGCTGCAAATGCATAAGCCTGATGATCCTCTTGTAGTTTTGAATTTGTGTAGGTAGCATACTCTGGGTGTTGGTGGAGAAGTCATTGAAACTTAAGGCTCCTCTGCATTATGAGAAAAAAATCTTAAATTTCCTCTTTTGGGGAACTTCTTTAGTAATACAAAGCCTTCAATATTGGTATTTGGTAATCTGAGGACTAGTTAATTACTCCTGCATTGGGTTTTCATCATCTCTAGCAGCTGACTGCTAAAGGACTACATTCAATTAGTCAAATATGCGCAGTTGACAGTCTTCCTGCTGTTCGGTTAAAAGTCCTAAACTTTCTCTTCTCATGGGTTTTTAACAATTATTTTTTGATGTGTCTCAGTAAAGTATCCTCCCAGCTGGACGAGGAAGAATTTTTTTTAAGTAAATTTAGATTTTTTAAGTAAATATACTCAGTTAACTTAAAATGCAAATAAATGCCCATAGTCTTCTCAGATAGCAACTCATAAGTTAAAATGTTCCATAGCATATCTTCTGAGCAATTCTGAAACTATTGCCTTGAACTTGAAAGTAGAGTGATGAAATCATAAATGAAGAGAGATGCCCTGTTTTCCAAAACGCTGACTCTTAAGTTCAAACACTTGTACCTTTTCAATGATTTTGGAACCGTCTGCAAGGAATGGAACTCATAAAAAGGTATTTTTTCACTTCAAGTTAATGGGCCAAGCCATGAAAAACGGGGCCTAGTGACTGAATGAATAAAATATGCAAGTGTATCTGAGGCCACTTAGAAATACATCATACATCACTTCCATTTGCACCCAGCTCCTTTTGCGTGCATATAACAGCCTGTGAACTTGAACCTACATCTGGGGCAGCTTGGGTTTGTTGGTTTGTTAGAAACTGTTCAGGGGGACTTCACTTGTCTGTGACTTAAAGCCATGGAAGTGAAGTGCGCAGAAAACTTGAGGACAGTTGTGGAATACAAGATTTTTATGCAAAGGAGGAGCTAAGCTACAAGGAGTTTTTAATTGGCCAAGCTGTTTGGGGAAAAAAAAAACCAAACCAGTAGCAGCATGTGGCAAAACTTCTGGGTACTGTGGTTCTTGATATTAGCCCAGTGGAAGTGCTAAGTTTCCTGTTCCTGAAGTATTTTGAAACAGAATGCAGTGTGACTGTATGAACACTTGTATTTCTCTGTACTCCCCTTCATTAAAAGTTGTGGCCTGTTAGTAATAAAGAAACAGGTTCTCCCCCCCTGCCCACACTGGACCATGATGGCTTTTTCTCTAAGCACTCGCTTTCCCCGCTTCTAGGCTGCTGTTTTCTCATTTATTTAATGTTTTACTAAACATCATTAAAGGGACTACAGGTAACATTTTGAAGAAATCTTAAATACTGTTCTCACAGGCTTGAAACGTGTTTGTTTTGGAGGTGAAGAAGCACCCATGAAATCAAAGCAGTTCTTTGGGTCTGTTTGTTTGTTTGTTTTCATAGCTGGTTTTGTTTTTTCCTATCAGAAATTCCTTGAACTGGTAGATTGCTTGTGACTTTAATTCTATGCCTGTTAATATGCACTGAGTGTTACTTTTTTAATTCTACCTCATGATATGCTGGTTTTTTACAAGAGTATTGTGCTGAAACATTGGACACTAACTTTTCTGTATAAAGAACTGTTACTCTAAAGTGACACGTCATCACATCTACATACCACCTGCAGCGCACAGCACCAAGCGTGGTGGGTTGACCAGCCCTGCCTAGCTCTGGAAACCAGGGCCACTGAGCAGGAGTGTAGGACTGATGCTAAAAGTTGACCTGGTTAAGGGGTTTGATGATATGTTGATGCTTTTGTAGCGTATCCAGCAGATGCATATTAAGATGGATTCCGTCCATGTAGGCTATAGAAACATTACCTAGTTCTTCTGATTACATTTGTAATAAGTTTGGATTAGAACAAGTAGGTAATCTTAGATTTTGATCATTTGATTACTCCTTTTCAACAATACTTGGAGATTTTCAATGAAGGTTAATCTCTTTTACCTATAAAGTTCACGTAACACCTATTGAAACACTATTCAGTAGTTTATAACTGATATGCCTTGCAGTTGCATCTTGGTGGAAGGAATGATTTTCAGTTGTCTTTCTGAAAATGTTACATTGCCTTATTGAATTAATGAAGTAATTTGTTGGCGAGTTTTGGATTATTTCTAGATAGTAAAAAAAAAAGGTTTATCTTACTGTTACGTTTCAAAAGATGAATTCTTAACCTTCCAGAACTATGTAAAACTGTCTGAAACAAATAGAAGAAAATGTTTCAAACAGTAAATGAAAGACTGCACTAACAGCTAAGTATGGTAGTGGCTTATAACAGAAGTTTGTTTAAACTGGTTTACTTTCAACCACTCGAGCATTAAATCACTTGATAAATTTTACAGTGTTTCTACTGAAGATAGAACTCCCCGTTTGACGGTAAAGCATGCAGTATGTTTTTTAAATGCATGGTTTCATATTCATTAACTTTTGTAGTATAAGAATTCCTCTATTCACAGCATGGCTGATCAGCAGAAGCAGATAAACTGCATAATTAAGATCTCTATAGGAATGTCAATGTATAGCAGCGTCTACAGGAACCAAACTAGTGTTTGAAGCTAGCAATCCTTTTGTAATAGTCCAGTGACTGTATGTTGTGGGAGTAAATGCATTTTCTAAGTATTAGAGGTCAGTCTTTAAATCACTGCAGCACTGTTATACATTTGTGGGGAGGGGGAGAGAAACTTCTAATGGGACTATACAGTGACATTCATGTGTATGTACTTTCTCTGTATGGGGGGTGTGTGTGTGTGTATTTCAGTATATATACAGCCACAGGGCATCAGTCCACTTGTCAAACATGGGTATTTCAGGGAAAAATGTAACCTCCAAACAGAACTATTGGGGATAGGAAGAAAAGCACAGTGATATAGACAGACACACACACGTTTGTTTGCACTCTTGGAGTCTTGGTAAGGACAGTTTGATTGCCTACTCCCAGAATTAGAATGTAAGCATCAGGTTTTTCTGGGGTTTTGGGGGGCGGGGGGATTGGTTGATTTTGGTGGGGGTTTTTTGTTTGTTTGTTGGTGTTTTTTTTTTAATTTGGGTAACACTGATGTAGAGAAGGTCCTGGTACCATAAAGCATGGGTCTGTTGCTCTATGAAATCTGAACTCTTAGAAGAAAGAAATACACTTGCCAAATGAAAGCTTTTAAAAAATCTAGTTTACAAGATTCTAAAAAGTTGGCGTAAAAGGAAAAAGTCAACAGACCATAATATTTTTGTCCTGCAGGAAAAAGAAACTTCTCATTTCCTGATCTTAGTCAAAGGTGCATTTTCTTAAGCACTAAGTATCTTCAGTTAAGTATAAGGTTTTTAATAGAAGAACAAATTGTGCATGTAGAATATTTTGAAATACCTGAGATTTCATAGTAAAAATTGTAACCTTTTAATACAGTATAGAAAGTATCAGAACTGCTCTGAAAATATTGTACTCACAGCCGTACA